GCTGACTTGGAATTTTCATGGATAAGTTTGTGCCTTTTTAAGTGAGGCTTCCTCAGCCTGTGTCACCTTTTGTTTTTCATCTGTCTGGTGAAGTCTTACTGTTTCTTTAAGAGAACCTCAAGCATCGCATTTCCAGGAAACTCCCCTGCCCTCGCCAAGGCAGGCCAGGTGTTGGGTCTGTGCCCTGAACCCCCCAGCAAGCGGTGCCCATTTCTGTCACTTACTGCACTGTTGATCATATGGATTTTGGTGTCTGGCTCCCTCTCATGGAGGTGACTCTGAGCTCCTTCGAGGTTGGGACAATGTCTTGTTCACGTCTGCATCTGCTTCACGCGCTGGACGTGCAGCGTGCTGTGAGATGGCGGGGGTGTCTGTGTGCGGTCGCATCCCACGGAGGGACTGTGGTCACGTTTGCTCATCTATCTGTTTCCTCTCGCTTTTCTCAGACGTGCTCTGCCCCAGCGTCCGTGTGGGAGGAGACCGCTTCAAGCACGCCAGTGGCGGGACCAAGGAAATCACAGGTAAGAGGACCAGCCACCCTGTGCGCTTGCTCTGCCGCGCTGCTGCTGGGCCTGGGCGTGCCCCTCCTGGGTTCGGGGGTGGCCTCGCCAGCCCTGTTCCCCCTCGGCTGTGGTGACCACAGGTTCTGCAAATGGGAGCGAATGAAGGCGTCCTACAGTTTTCCTGGGAAGCTAACGAGGGCCAGTGCAGGTCTGAAATTTGGCCACAGATATCCTAGATTTCTCTCCTCCCACATAGGCTCCCACATGCAGATAATCACCAATCCCAAACAGCCTCCAGGCCAACAGCTTCCTCCATCCCTCCTCCCTGGAAAAATCCTACCAAGTCTTGTCCTTGCTGGTCTCCCAGCTCCTCCATCCACAGCTGCCAGAACCATCATTGAAAACCGAAACAGGGTTGTGTTTCTCCCCTGCTGTAAAACCCTTCCATGGCTCCCTATTGCCCACAGAAATAAACTCAGATCTCCCACGTGGCCGGCAGAACCCAGGATGACCTGCCGCTGCCTGCCTTACTCCTGGCCAGCGTGCCCCTCACAGTGGCTCCTGACACCCTGAAATAGCTAGGTTTCCCAGAAGAACCTGGCTGACTTGGGTCCAGTGACCTGTGCACACCCAGCTACCACGCGTGGCCTTTTCTTCTCTGCCCAAATCTTATTCATTCTTCAAATTCAGGCCAAGCCTTATCACCTCAGGGAAGCCCTCCCTGATAGCCCATTGGGTTGCCAAGGTCAAGCCCAGCCAGTCTCCCTCCTTATCATTGACTAACCCTGCTCGTTCGTGTGTCTCTTTCCCAGCAGATAATAATCTTTGAGGGGTTGGGGTTTTGTCTGGTTCATTATTGGAATCTAAGCAGCCAAGGGGGCATAGACTACATGGGAGCCCCTAATGTCTGGTGAATTCTTTATTCTCTCCTTCCCTCTTTCCACAAACGGTGCCACAAGCACGAACAACTACAAAAGCTCCTGACTTGTTTGGGGATAGAAACATGAGTCAGACCAGGTCCCATCAAACTGCTCACCGTCTAGTGGGCGAGACAGTCCTGTGACGGGTAAGCTGTGTGCACCTTGCCAGACGCACCACAGCAACTGGTGCCCTCGGGAGTCCGTCCGGCAAGGCTTTGTCCCTTGCACACCTTTGAAGGACAAGGAGAGTGCTCAGTGGGCGCCTGGCACGGGGCGGTCGCTGGCTTGTGGCCTCCCTGCTGGCTCAGCCCGCAGACGGCAGGGAGGTGCGCCTCGGGCTTCCGTGTGACGAGGTTGCTTCTTCATCTCCCGGCGCCTTGCACCTGAGTCTGTTTACCTCGGGAACGTTTTTCGTCTTCTTTCCTGGCCCGTGTTTATTGCAGGCAGTTCATCTCTTCTCTGGTGCCCTTTGCTGCCACCTAGTTAATTGCCTGTTGTCCAAAGTTTGGTCGTGTTTAAGTCTTTGTTTTTATTCATTGAAGCCAATAGAAGCGAAACCAGAAAGTAGAGCACATGTTCGCTTTTATAAAACGGTTTCATTCTCCCGCGTGTAACTGCTAGAGGGAAACCAGCTTAAAGTGGCAGTTTCTGGTGACAGCTGACGAAGCCGCGAAGTGGGAGAACAGGCCCTCTGTGTTCTCTCCCCAACCTTGCACAGCTGGCCTTGGGCACGTGTCCACCAGATTCTGAGTAAGAGCCACCACTCAGCATCCGTGTGAGGCCGCGGGCAGTCCTGCGAAGCGGCCCCTGTTCTGCTCTGTACGGCTGAGAAATGGAGTTTTAGGGACAGGAGCGATCGCCCTGAAGTCGCAGAGCTGCAGCGTCTATGAACGGGCAGCCCCGGACCCCGGCGAGTCTGCGCGAGGTGCTCTCCTGTCCCCGCCTTCACTCCCTGAATTAAACCGGCAGCTTCGCTTGCACACCGCCTCCCACCTGCAGTGCCCCGCTGCAGTAACCTGACAGCAGCCCCTCCAGGGGCTTTCCCCTCAGGCAGGCAGGAGAGTCAGAGATTAACAGTCAACCCACCTGCACCAGGCTGCTGGGATGACAGGTGCGGGTGCCTACTCTGCGCAGCTCTGCTTTGTGCGTGTCTGCTCGTCGCTGATGAAGGCGCGAGGACACTGGCCACGCCCCCGGCCAGTGCTCACTGGCGTTCAGACCCAGGACAGAGGCTCTGGAACCTGCTTCTACCTATTCTGCCTGTCTTCCCAGGAACAGAACCCAAGCCCTCAACAGCCTGTACGCCCTCTGCCACCTGGTGTCCGTTCCACGGAGCCTGGGACTGTGGGGCTGTGCAGGGCCTTCCGGCCAGTCACTGCGTTCCCAGGTACCTGCCCCTCCATTGTCAGGAGCTTCCGGCCCCCTGGCCACTTCCAGGTGTGGGGCGCCAGCCGTGTCCCGCCAGCTGCTTCTGGCTGGGGCCATTGGAATCTGTGAGGTGTTGAGTCCAGAGCAGCAGGGGCACCTTATGCCCTTTGTCCTCCCATGACATGTGAAGGCTGGCGTCCAGTGTCTGCTCAAAGCAGGCTGGGTCTGTGCCAACAGAAGGAATGAGGGCTTCTCTGCTCGTTCATTCAGTGACATTTCCCATCAGCTGGTGCCCCTGGGGGTCTGCTCAGGACACCCCCTCCCCAGTTCCTTGTCTGGTCCAGTATAACCAGGGCAGCAGTGGTGGGTGTGGCTCTGGGGAAGGGGTGGAGCAGTCGCCAGAGCCTGAGGCTCCTCCTGATGGCATTTCACAGAGGACATGCATTGCCTTCAGGGCATGGGTCAGAGGTTCCCACTGTGGTCCCCAGGAAGAACTCGTGGCAGTGACCGAATCAGGTTACCTCTGTCCCCAGCAACTCGCCTGAGCCCAGAGCCTTGGCTTGCCCATTGCTTCACATTGCCAGAGCACCTGAGGTCCTCTGTTAGCATCAACGCAGAAGAAAAACACCTTTCAGTGAATGCGGCACCAGGAAGAAAGACCATTTTCTTCTGGCCGATGTTTCGCTCTTGAAAATGGTTACATTTAAGAAAGCGCCCAGCGATAAAGGAAACCAGGCGAGTCGCCACGCTGTGGCTGTAGGAAGGGCCCAGTGTGTCTGAGTGAGACGCTCGCCCTCCCCCGCATGGCCGCTTTGGCTGCAGAGCAGCCTGTGGGGGTCAGGTGCTCCCTGTGGGCCTCCCGGACTCCCAGGCCCCCAGCATCGCAGCGGGACACCTCCCACTTGCCTTTGCCTGATCGCGACCCTGGACTTTTGCAGCGGTCACATTTCCTTGGAAAGCCCAGCGTCTCCTGCACCCTTTCCTGGAATTGGGGTTGGAAACGGACGCTGGACCCCTCTGGACTTACTGTTGTTCACGTTTGCTCCCGAGCATGCATTCGAACAGTTCCTCTGCGTAAGCCCCCAGTCGCGCCCCAGGGCAGGCGGGCGAGCCCCCTTCGCAGAGTGGGTTCCCCTCTCAGCAGACTCACCCCAGCTCTTCTCTTCACGCAGGTTTCGACCTGATGGATTTGTTCAGAGTGAAGGAGATCCTGGGGAGGCGAGAGAACGGGGCGCAGAGTTCCTACGTCCGGATGGGATCCTTCCCCGTGGTGCAGAGGACTGAGTGAGTGCTCAGCTCCCCTTCCAGACCTGCTGGGTGTCTGGGGCGTCGTGGAGGGGGTGGGGGGGCCAACCAGGGCTTTAACCTACTCAGTGTCTGCGAGGGTCGCCCTGGAATGAGGCAGCTGAGCCGCTGACCTGAAACGCGACCTGTGTCAGCAGACTCATGTCTGTCGACTGCCTTGGTTCCTGGGCCCTTCCGTGCTCACTTCTCCATACCGATCTGGCGTCGATCATTGACTCATGCGTGCATTTTTCTATCAGTTCATTAAACAGCAAACATTCACAGTGAAGTGTCCCAGGTGGGACATGGCGCCTCCTCTGGACGAGCACTGCATTATGCGGCAGGCACAGCAGCACCGAGTCACGAAGTCGTTTTGGCCCGTGGAGACCCACTTTTAGTACTTACTGGGTGCCCGGCCTCCGTGTCATCAGGTGCCCCCGTTTCTCAGTGATGTCATGTTGTTCGGCTGATGTGAACGTTTCTGCCTTGAAACATTGTTGAGAAGATTATGAAGTGACAAGCTGTTCACGGTCTCCAGCCAAGTGCTGCTGACAACACCCAAATAAGTGTTCCATTCCTCTTCTCTCAGGTAGATTTTTTGAGAATAAAAATGATATTTTGTCCTGACCTTCTTCCTCCATCTTAAAACCCTTTAACTTCTTGAATTGAATTGAAGCTAAAGGGCTGGAAAGGCCTGTGTGTGGCCTGGCCCCGTCCTACCATTTTGGCCTCTAGCTTGTCACCCAGCCCTCCCTCGTCTGGCTCCTCTGTCTCTGTCCTGGAGCCTGCTGGGCACGCTGCTCCCACCTTTGTTCACGATCTCCTCTCCGCCTGGGACACCTGCTCATCCTTCAAAGAACAGCCCGACCGCGGTGCCTTCAGAGAGGCCCCCAGACGAGGCCTCACCTCCTCCTCTTTCCTTGCAAGCCATATTCCTGCATCAAGCATGGCAAGGTTGAACCTGACTAGTCGTTGTGCAGTGAGTCACTTACAGATGGCCTCCCTGCTCAGCGAGGAGCTCTTGGAGGGGACCGAGTCCGGCCTCTGGTGTGGTCCCAGCATCAAGCCGAGCTCTGCCCAGAGGAGAAGACCGGTCAAGATTTGTTGAGATGTGGCTGGGGCCTCGCCGGCCTCACTGTGGTTGTTGGGTATACTTTGGAAGTGTGCCAGGATTGGTGGAGGAAGAGGCCTGACGTTGCAGTGTGCTGCGTGGTGATGGCCTTCAGCATTCTCTTCACGCAGCAGTTTGGAAAAATGCCTGGATTTAATCGCTATCAGATTTCAATATGAAAAGGGGACTTTCCTGCAGAATGGTTAACCCTTTTATCTCTAAACATTGAATGGGAAAAATTTCCAAAAAAAAAAAAGATTTGTTGAACGCATGAATGGAATTGGCCAATCTCCAATCAGTGAACATGCTCTGTTGGCTCCTAGCCTGGCAAAGGTGGGCTTGGGACACCAGGCCACAGAGCTTTGCATTTGGTAGAATTTTTGCTTCCACGCAGTTATTTTTCTAGTTCGGCGAGCAGTCTGAGTGCCACCCATGCACCCAGCATCTCGCTGGACTCTAACGTCTGCCATCCGAGGCTCACAGCACCTACACCCCATGAGAGAGATGTACAGAAGAGGAAGGCAGCAAGTCACCTCCTCTGAGTCCCCTTTTGTCACCTGTGCAGTGGAGACCTAATCATTACAACAGACTTAAGAGGGGGCGTCTTTCCCGACCCTGAGCATTGCTCTCTGTGCAGATGCTGGCCGAGATCATTCTTAATTACCTGCTCCCATGCTCACAAGGGTACACACAATCTAGTCTCCATTTCTCACCCCACTCCCCGTACTTCTTTGTCCCGATTTCTCTAGTTCGTCATCCCCACTGCTTGGAAACGAAAGATCAAGTACGACTTCACTTTAAAGGAAACGTACAGTGGAGGGAGAACCTGACACAGGAAGAAAGCACGTGCTGCACAGTTGGCGGGAGGGCCTCACGGAGGCCCCTCGCGTTTGCTGGTGGCATCTTTCTCACGAGACTTGGAGCAGAGAGCAGAGGGGCTGGGGCTGCTCTGGGGAACTCGGGGTGGCAGTGTTTCTGCATAATGGATTTGGCTCATGTTATACTGAGTCGTTACTGAGAAGTAACGGTTTTGCTTTAATGGCAAAACACCAGAAACAAAGTCAAAGCAGCAAAGCTGACATTTCAGAAAAGAGTAATATCCCTTTATTTCTAATGCTTTGAAATTTATGCACAGATACATACATGCAATTTTAATTTATAGGTTAATTTTGTTCATAATGAAAAGGGGTATCACTTTCAATATTTATAGTTTTTCTCACTTGTTTGTACATACATGCCGCCTGTGCCCGGATGTGGTCCGGGGTGAAGTCCCAGCTTGCGGGATGACTCTGAACAGCCGGGCCAACCCCTAGCTTGGGTCTGTGAGCCAAACATCAGAGAGGGAGACCAGACTTTGCTCACGGGTTCTGCAGCCAAATGAAGGTCCCTGAGGGCCCACAGGCCTGAGAACCGGGAACCCAGCCGCCTTCCTCCTCATTTCCCTTCCTGGCTCTCTGGCCAGACAGCCTCCAGCCCCTGCGATGGAGGAGTCGGGGCCACGTGCATTCCCCAGGCAGCTCCCTGCCTCAGCGGGGCTGGGCCCCACCTGGCCAGGTCTGCAGGGGAACGGACAAGCAGCTGATGGATGAGCTGAGCGAGCGTCCTGGAGGCTAGGTGCCCCTCTGTGTGTGAGCCCCCTCCTGCTGCTCACCCGTCAGGTCATGCTGCGTTAACCCTCAGAGCCTGGCTGCGCTAGGCTGGGGATCCGAGCTTCTCGCGAGGGGGAAGGGTAGGTCCCAGGATGCTCAGCTGCATTTGACCTGGGGGGTGTGGCAGTTTAGCATTTATTGTTGCTTCTGTAGGTGATGGTGGAGAGGAGGAGCCAGACATGAGAGTGGGGGCAGGGCCACCATGGCAGCACCACAGTGGGGTCTGCACAGGGTCGTATGGGAAAGGGAAGGCAGTGAGGACAGGCTGGATTTTAGACATGGTGCAGCTGGCAGGACGTAGTGACCCCGGGGCTGTGGCCTCTCTTTCGTGTCTCCTACTCTCCTCACTAAGCCTGGTGTCTCCGCCTCTCTCCAGGGACGTGTTCCCTCAAGGGCTGCCTGACGAGTACGCCTTCGTTACCACCTTCCGGTTCAGGAAGTCGTCTCGGAAAGAAGACTGGTACATCTGGCAGGTCATCGACCAGTATGGCATCCCACAGGTATGAGCCGCATGCCCTGTCACCTTCCTCCGCGAGCCTCCAGCTTTCCATGTCTTTCTCATGAGGATGGCCTCACCCACCATGTTTTCTCCAGGGGCCTTTCTCTTGGGCCCCGGAGATGGGGCGTCCGGTGTACGGAGGCCCAGGGAACCTGCAGGGAGTGTCACCCAGCAGACAGGTGCAGCTGCTTCTGCCACTGAGGGCCGAGTGCCTGATTCTCTGGTGGGAACGAAGATCTACTCCTGTCTTGGGGACACTCTGCCTAACCAGGGGGCTGGCCTACGGCACGTGCCCTGTCAGCAGCCTGAGTGACACGGCTCCGTGATGTCATGGAAGAAAGTGGCTGAGAGTCAGTAAGACCTGGGTTCAGATCTCATGTCTGCCCACTTCCAGGTGTGGGCCCTGAAACAGATTGGCCTTCTGAGTCTTTCTAGTTCTCAGCTGTAAACTAGAACACAATGCCCACCACGAATGGTTGGTGGAAGCTTCCGGAACAGTGCCTGATACCCAGGACAGTTCTGTCAGATGGTTTCCTTCTATGCTGTTCTTCGGTTTTACCCTGACCAGGGCTCTGCAGCCCGTCATCATCCACCTCATGTGTCTGGGCCCAAAACCCTTCAGCAGCATGTGGCCGAGCGAAGAAAGACCTGTCACAGAATCAAAGCCATCCACATGTCACGCTGGTGTGAGCTGCAAGCGATGCTGCTTTCGTGCTCTGCCAAATCCCAAAGCCCGTGTTCTCAGAGTTCATGGCCCAGCCGTATCTTCGTCTGTCGTTCACCATTGTCCTCTTGGAAAGTGAACCGTGTGAAGACATGGCTCCCTGTCAGCCGGGAGATACTGACTGTTTTCACTTGGGGTTGCTCTTGGAAAGTGAACCGTGTGAAGACATGGCTCCCCCGTCAACCAGGAGATACTGACTGTTTTCACTTGGGGTTGAAATAAAATAGAAATGTGTTCAAGCCATTGGACCGTGGCAGCCACTCTCGGGCGGCCCTCCGAAGCAGTGGGCTGTCCTTGCTGTGACGGAGCCGGACCCTGACGTGGCACACACTTAGTAGGAGCTACGGGTTGTCCTGAGCGCTTCACAAGTCGTAACTCACTTTGTCCTGTTCGTCCTGCATGGGGCCTCTGCTGTTCCTGTCTTACAAAGAGGGGGCCTGGACCTCAGCGAGGTTAGGCCACTTGCCTGAGTGTCATAGGTAATGAAAAGGAAAGGTGGGATTTGAACCCAGGCCATCAGGCTCCAAGCCTGTCTTTTACCGGCTGTGCTCAGCGGGCTCCTGTCTCCATCAGTTGGCCCCACTGAACGAACAGTCTTTCTGTGGCCTCCCTGGCCAGACTCAGCGGCGTAGGCACTGGCAGGCCTGACTGCTGAGTGGCCTGATGTCATAAGCGCGGGAGGCTGCACGGTACAGGGTGTGGTGGGGATGAGATTCTTCTCCAGAGGCCTTTGCTCCCGGCGACCCGTATCCACCCGCATCTGCAGGCACGCAGCGCTGCTTCTCCCGTGTCTCAGGGTCTGGTGCAGTGGGGCTGGGCACCTGCCATGACACTCCTGTGGGCGAGCCCTCACCAACCCCGGTCTGGGTGCTTTTCCCCCATGACGTTTGCAGAGCTGGCATGCTCTCTGTCTGCCATGGCTGCCCCTCTGCTCCTGCCAGAACCAGCCATGGGCTGAGGTGCTGCCGAGCTGACGGGAGACCAAGCCCGCCTTCGAGGGCTTCAGGCTCCTTTTCTAAGAGGTGCCTGGCAGTTCCGCTTCGCCGGCAAGCCTTGGGGGAGTGCCCTTCACGGGAAGTGTCCTTGGTGGCCAGTCATGCACGGGTAGCGTGTCGATTTTGCTCACTGCTGCATTCCTGACACCCGGCATGTTGCTTGCCTCTCTCAGGAGGTTCAGTGAGTATTGCACAAGGGATGAAGAAATGAGCACATTGATGAGAACATATTCGTTTGTTCACTCATTCATTCACTAATTCATTCTAAGAGAAACAAGAATGAGCTCTCTTCTGGAGTTTTCCAGGCATTTTTCAAAGGGCTGACAGTGAACAAAGCAGGCGAGTTTCTGCCACCAAGAAACTTGGTCCTGCTGGAGCTCCAGCTTTATCCTTGAGGCGGGTTAATGGACAAGTCTCAGACTGGCCCCTGGCCTCTGGCTGGAAGATGTGCTCTGCTTTGCCAGCCTGGGGTTTTAAGAGACACTGAAACTATTCGAGGTGTGGGGGAGGGTCCTGGTTGGTCTCATGACTCGAGCTCCTCTATACCAGGTGTCTCATGTCACAGAAGCGCTCTTACGTGCAGAGTCCCTCGGGGCAGCTGGCATGGGGGCCCTGGAGTCACATGTGAGTCCAGTCGTCCCACCTAGCACCGGGCTCGGAACAGCCCGCGCAGTACATGTTCACACCGTCACGTGGAGGAGGAAGCTGAGGCTGGAGTGTGTAGTGGCCCGCTGTGGCAGGCCAGCTGGCCGGGGTCACAGCAGCAGTCACCCCAGGTTTGCCGGGTCTGACTGCAGCGTCCCCTCCCCTCGCCCCTCCCCACTGGGCCCATGTGCCTCTGCTCCCTCCTCCCTAGGTCTCCATCCGGCTGGACGGCGAGAACAGGGCGGTCGAGTACAACGCCGTGGGTGCCATCGAGGATGCCGTCAGGGTGGTGTTCCGCGGCCCCCGGGTCAGCGACCTCTTTGACCGGGACTGGCACAAGCTCGCGCTGAGCGTCCAGGCGCCGAACGTGTCCCTGTACATCGACTGCGCGCTGGTGCAGACGCTGCCCATCGAGGAGAGGGAGAACATCGACATCCAGGGCAAGGCCGTGATCGGCAAGCGCCTCTACGACAGCGTGCCCATCGACGTGAGTGCCGGGCCCCCGCAGCCAAGGGCGCGTCAGAGCCACGGCCCCGATGGCCCACACCCGCCGAGTCCTCTGTCAGTCCGTCCCCTTGGACTGGCTTAGCAGGGCAGCCCCTGACTCAGCTGCCACGTTGGTGCCCAAAGTCACCATCAGTCTCTCTCTCTCTCATTCATTCAGCCATTCAGCCAGTCATTTATCACGTGTGTATTTAGCACCCGCCGTGTGCCGGGCACTGGGCCAGCACCAGGGACATGGCATGTTTATCTATAAAGCTCTGTCTGTGTCTGTTTAAAAATACAGGAAGCCATGTAAAAATACAGGAAGCCATATCTATGCGCATAGCCCACGTGCGTGGTAAGTACTTAATAAATAGTAGCTAATAGTGTTATAATTTAGTTATACATATTTATAGGATTATAGAATAACACTTATTCATTGCACTAATTATTTGCGTATCTACTTTGGTTCAGGTACTAAAAATAGAATCTAATTCGATTCTCATGACACCCATGAAATTTCTAGACCATTTCTATGTTTAAAATAAAGAAGCTTTGGCTCAGTAAGGCTAGGTTAATTCACTCAATAAATATATATTTTATGTTATTTATTGAGGTGTTATCCTATACAGTAAGCTGCCCAGGTCTTAAATGTGTACTTTGATGAGTTCTATCAAATGTATACACCTGTGTAACCAAAAAAAAATATGTATATATGAAATTGTTTTAAGTTGCTCCAAATTGTCCAACTGGTCCGGGATGGAGAGGGGCTGTTAATCCACACCCTGGTGCCCCCTACCTGTGTTCTCTGCGTCACAGTCTGGCCCTTCACAGCAGCAGTGTGGGCGGAGCCCCTGCTGGTCCAGGTGTTGTGCAGTGGGGTTTGTGTGATCAAGCAGTCGCTGTCTGTCTTCCTTGGGAAAATACAAGCTCCATGGTGGTGGCTGCAGTTTCTGTCCCGTCTGTCTGTCACTGCATCTGACACACAGTAGGCTCTCTCTGACTTTAGGACACTCACATTTTCAGAGAAGAGAGACTTGCACTGAGGTCACTTTGGTCTAGTCAAATAAAACTCGTGATAGCGATAAGCATCAGGTATTATAGAACCCAGAGAAGAGACGTGCGACCTAGGTGAGCAGGGTAGGTGGGTGGGGTAGACGGGTGGCTTCCTGGAGGAGGTGATTCGTGGGATTAATAGGCTTTGTCTGTCAGAGGAGCCTGAAGCCCTGTGGTAGGCGTGCACAGCCTGCCGAGGTGGCAGGAGTTGAAGCGCGTGTGGGCGGGGCAGGGTGCGGGGCAGGGTGCGGGGCAGGGCCAGGCCGTCCATGCACAGGCCGGGAAGGGTTGAGGCTGGCTGGGTCTGATTTGGTCTTTGGGGCTGCAGAGGGCAGGGCTGATGGGAAGGAGGGGGAGGGGAGAGCGCAGGTGGAATAATGAGAGAGGCCGAGGGCCTGGGCGGGGCAGGACGGGTGCTGGCCTGGGGATGGTGCGGTCCTGGTGACTCACTGCCAGCCACTCTGTCTTCCTTCCACCCTGCTCGTTTTGTGGGACAGGTGCAGCCCCACCTGGACTTGGGGCGCTGAGCCCTTGCAGAGGAGCAGCAAACACCTGGTGGCATTTACTGTGTGCCGCTCACCGCGTGCAGGGGCCACTGTGCTGAGTTAGTTCTTCCACACTCAGCCGCGTGGGCGCACTCACCACAGTGCCCTGTTTCATCAGGAAAACCAGACAGAGATTGAATTATTCCTGCAAAGTCGCCAGCTCAGAAAGTGGGAGCTCAGGCTTCGCAGTCTCCGCGTTTGCCACGAGTCTGGAGTCTGGGTCCTGTCCTGCCCTGACTCCTAAATTCATGATCACACCGGGCCCTTAATCGGGCACGTTGAGCCCAGTGTGTGGCATCTGGGGGCTCAGGTGGGTTCTTCAGTCTCCTCCTCTTGTCCACTGACACCAGCTGAGTCCCTACTTCACATCCAGTCCTGGGGAATCCCAGACCCTCTGACATTTGTCAGTGAGAGTACGGCTCCTACTTATGGTTTTATGCTGGGTTTCTAGATTTTAAAAAAACCTAATGAATAGGTGGAGGAGTTGTCAATAAGTGCCTTACCGCTTCGTGAATCTTCTGAGCGCAGTGGCTGTAACCTCGTGGCTTGGGGCCTCGGACACAGCGGGGAGAGACCACAGCAGCCTGCGGCTCCCCCTGGGAGGGATGCAGCTTCTTGGCCTTGCTTGGCCCTCACCCGGCCCTGTGGACTGGCTCCTCACCATACCTCCCAGGCGAGGAACCCGAGGCTCGGTGTTGGCATGCCTTGGCCGGTGGCCCCGAGGGGACAGCAGGCCTGTGACTCACGCCTGGGTCTGACTGATCCCAGATTCCAAGCCCTCTGCCCTGCTAGTTGGTTTCCACATTGTTGCCAGATAAGGGTCGCCAAGCTGCCAACGGCTGGAGCAGAAGGAAAGCCAGACGGGAGGGCCATGTGACAGCTCAGCCCAGAACTGCCACCTGAGTGTGAGCAGAGGTCTCAGAGTGGGGCGAGGGCCAGAGGAGTGTCAGGAGAGATCCTGGCGTGGCGCAGCGAGGGAGAGGGAGGAAGTGTCAGGGCAGCCAGGAGTGGCAGGATTTCAGGCAGTTGGGAATCGGCCGCTCCCCGCCGCCCACCCAGAGCGCCTCTGCCTAGGCCCGGGCCGCTCCTGGTCTCCAGCCCTGAGCCTCTGCCTCTTCCTTCTCCGTGCCTGTCTCTGCAGCCCTGCCGGACGGGCCCAGCTGTAGCGTGTAGGCTTGCTAATGCAGAAAGCAGGACCGTCTCTGCAAAATAGGTCTTGTTCAAAAGAATGATTTTGTCGTTTTTTTTCATCTGTGGGCTGGTGTCTTTACAGGAAATAAAATAGACAAACTACTGGAATTGTTATGTTTCCACTAAGCCAAGTCAGTGGACTGAGGGCTTACACCTACAGGGGCACCTCATAAGGGCAGGACGAGGTCAAGGGCTGGGCACCTGCCCGGTCAGCTTGCGGAGGGGCTCCCAAGTGCAGCAGAGGCCGGAGGAGGGCGTCGGGGAGGCGCGAGACCAGGGCAGCTAGCGGCACTGTTAACTGTAGTGGGAGAGCGTGTCTCCATCCACGGACGCGGCTCCGGTGCCAGTCGGGAAACGCTCGTCCATGCACGCGTTCACCCCTCAGCCGTGCTTTCTGTGCGTCTGTGTGTCGGGAATGGCGCCAGTGCTGGGGTGCAGTGGAAGACGAGAGAGAGCGCCTTATCTCAGAGTTTACATTCTAGCGGGGGACCCCGATTCTGGGAAACTAAACTAAGAAACAAGTACGCAGTGCTGTATGTGGTAAGTGCTGTTACGAAGGTGCACAGGATGACGTGTTAGAGTGACAAGTGACAGGACCTGGGCACAGGCAGGTGCTTGTGGAGGTGAAAGCTGAGAGGAGCAGAAGGGAGGGGCCACTGGGGACTGGGAGGGCAAAGCGTGTGGGAGCAGGGCTCACTGTGCTTGAGGGACTCGGGTCAGCGCGGAGCCCAGAGGGAGGATGGACACGTAAATACAGAGTTGCCTCCAGCCCACCACGTTCAGTGTCAGCTGAATGGCAAGGTGCCGGCATGGCGGGGACGAGGGCACAGTGAGCTCTCTGCGAGACTAGAGGGGGCGTGTCAGTGATCTGCCGCGTAACAAACGCCCCCTCGTCCAAGAAAAGTGAGGACACCAGGCATTGACTGTCTCCTGGTTTCAGTGGCTCCTGGTTTCTGGCCAGCCCGCGTTTGGCTGTTGGTTCGGTCATTCGAAAGTGCAAAGGGGCTGAGCGGTCCACCCGCAAGCTCGCTCAAGTGGAGCCGGGCAGCCTCCTGCGGGCTTTTGAGCTGACGGCCTCAGCTCCTCACTGGTGGCCCCTGGAAGGGGCCCTCGTTTCTCCACCCGAACTTAGCCATAGGACAGCTCACAGTGTGGCAGCTAGTGTCCCACGGGTGAGTGCTGAGATCTCTAGACAGGACCCCCAGGACAGGAGCCGGTCTTTGTACCGCCTGATCTGGGAAGTGACCTGCCATCGCCTTTGCCACGTTCTGTTCATTAAAGCAGGTGGCTAAGCCCCTCCTACACCCCAGGGGAGTGGAACCAAGCCTCACCTTGCAGGAGCCTCAGAGAATCTGTGGACCCCGAGGGAATGCCCGAGCATGGTTTTGGGGTGCCTAAGCATTTGCTAGTTTTTCAGGGACTTTCCCAGAGGAGGGTCCACGTGCGAAGGCGTGGGCATGGGAACCCCTGAGGTCCAATGTTGTAGAGTGAGCCCGGAGTGAGGGGCAGGCCCCTGGGGAGGCAGGCGGAGCGAGTCCTGGAGGCCTTGACTGTGCTACGAGGAGGCCTGGGCGTGTGTGTGTACGTGTGCGCATGTGTGCATGTGTGTGTCCGTGTGTGTGCATGTAAATTATTTTAAGAGGTTGTGGCATTAAAGGACGTGGTAGAAGCAAATTTTTATTTTAAAAAGTTTGTTTAAACCGCCGTGCGGAGACACCTGGAGAGGTTGAAAATGACACAGAACTTGCAGAAGCGATTGCGACAGCATCGCGGAAGGGCCTTTAAATGAACGCAGTGACGGGGGTGTCAGAGGGCGGCCTGTGCCTCATTCAGGTGGAATGAAACTGGACGCGGACCTGTGCCAGCTCACCTGCTTGCACTTGGGGCCTCACTTTTAGAAGGCGTGTGAGTACACGACTCTTAGATGTCCTCTGACACTCAGCTCAGGGAAGGCAGTGACTCCGGGTCAGCCCGGGGGGGGACCTGGGGAGGAAGTGTCACCTGCTAGCAGAGCCTGTCTGAGGCTGTGGAAGGTTCTGTGGAAGGTTCCAGAGGCTCACCCTCTGTCCTCATTTCTCTTTCCAGTTTGACCTACAGCGGATTGTGATTTATTGTGACTCCCGCCACGCAGAGCTGGAGACCTGTTGCGACATCCCCTCGGGCCCGGTGAGCAGAGACTCTTACACAGAGAGGTTGGCAGCGGAGGAGAGGATTCTCCGTCCTCAGCCTCTGGAAGGGAGGGGGTCTCCCAGGGCCTCAGAACTGGCACTTGGGGGTTAGGGGGAATGTCCATTATCAGAATGTGACCTAGAGGGAGCCCAATGATCATCAGTAGGGGTCTCTTTCCTGGTCCAGCAGGGTCACGCAGGTCAAGCTGTGGCCCCTGCCTCAGTCGGCACCACCCTGAGGCTACTGGCCAAGTGATGAGGCCTAGCTCTGGGGAACGAGAAGCAGGGGCTGGCAGGTCATCCCCAGGAGGGACCAACTGGCTGTGCCTCTGGTACTCAGAGGAGGGGGAGGCCACAGTGTGCCAGGCCTGGGAGCAGTGCTGGGTGAGAAGCCAGGTCCTGACCCCTGGCCTTTCCTTCCAGTGCCAGGTGACCGTGCTGACAGAGCCTTCACCCCCGCCTCCAAAGCCTCCTACTTCCGGCAGTGAACAAATCGGGTTTTTGAAGACAATCAACTGCTCCTGTCCAGCTGGAGAAAAGGTACCTTTGTAGTCCACCCGCAGTCCCCTGCCCAGAGCCCCAGAGCTGAGAGAGGCAGGCTGGTCAGCAGGGTCAGTGGTGGAGGTGGGAGTTTCCCATCATGCATGTGGTCTGCCAGGGCAGGATGCTCCAGGCTCTGGCCATTCTTAGGTCAGGGAAGTGTGCTTGCTCCTTGGACCTCCCGTTTCCTGGCTTTTATGCCCCCTAGGAGGGGAATGGCTCCAATCGGTGCTAATTAACATTTCCTGGAGTTAATGAGGCATTCCCGAGGTTTTCCTGGCTCCTGTTTTATCGCCTCCGCTCACATGCCACTAACTCAAGTAGGATTTGGTTTGGGACCAGACTCAGAGCAGGCTGTGACTGGGGTTAGATATGCTCTGTGGAGCACGCCTTCACCCTTTTCGTCTCAATGCTCCCTTTAACCAGCCATGGTCTGTAACCTAAACGCACGTGTGAGTAGGTTTTTATGCGTCTTGTCTCTAATTTTGAACTTAAGTGTGTTTCTGTGAACACCACCACCCATCCATTACCTAGATTAAGGGTCTCAGTGAGGGCCTGGGCCCTTTGTCTGTTTTGTTTCTTTGGAGACCAGTGGCCCTTTTAAGAAAACAATATGCTGTCCACTATTGCAGCTGAACAAATTAAACACATGCACAAGCATGACAAAGGTAGGACTGTGCCAGAGCGGGTCTCCAGGACGTTCTGCTGGCCCCACAGACTCAGAGCCTTGGTCTCCAGCCTGTGGTCCTGTCCATGCATCGCTGTGCTGCACCTCCCAGCTCGGGGCCAGCACGCAGCAGCAGCTCAGCGACTGCAAGGGGCGAGGGGGACACAGACAGAGCTGCGAAATCACGGTCGATGGGAACTGCAGTGGACACACTAGGAATTTCAGTGACAGGTTTCTGCTGGTACACCTGCCCTGGCGGGCAGTCTCCCCTCTCCCTCCCCCCACTCCTCTCCCCTCTCCCTCCCTCCCTCCTCTCCCCTCTCCCCCTCTCCTCTCCCCTCCCCTCCCCTGCTGTCTTTCACACCTTCCCTCTATTATTTTCACCCAGGGTGCCAGACCCTGGGGGTGGAACGAAGGCACCTCGAGCCTGGGGCCAGGTGGGTGAGGACTGAGAGCTGCCGGGGTGGAGCCAGCGTGGGCAGGAGCAGTGCTGGGCAGCGGCTCCTCCTCCGCCCCTGGCAGGCTCAGGGTGGCCACAATCTGTTGACCCAGTTCACCCGTTAATGAAATAACAGAAATAGCCCAAATCCTTTCGAGCCCTCGTTTTTGGTGGAGAACCCAGATGAGAACTGTAACAGTGTTGTGAAGTTTGGATCACTAGCCGGTGTGTGCACAGCCAGCCTGTGCCAAGGAGGTGGCCAAAGCCAGCCTCTCCAGGCCACACCTGTCCCCAGTGCAGGCCCGTGCCCTGGCTGTACCCTGCCGAGGCTCCTGTAGTTTCTGGTACGAGCGGGGAGGGAAGTCTGGGGTGGAGCAGCCCTCCACCCCTGGCCCCTCTCCAGCAGCCCCGCGGTGGGTCCCCATTGCCTCCGCAGCCTCATCTCACTCCGCTTCCCTCCCCGCTCCCACGCCAGGCACGGCCACCTGCTTCCTAGAGGACTCTGATCTTCTTGGCCCCTGGCAAAGGCAGATGCGGCTTCTGCCTGAGCGTCTTCCCCACTCCCCCGTCCATCCAGCTCAGGCCTGCCCTTCTTCCAGCACAAGCCAGGGAACCCTTCCTGAGCTGCTGTTGGCTGTGTGATTTCCCTCCCGCCCTCGCCCCTCCTTCCTTTCTTCCCTCCCATTATTCATCATCTATCCATTCAATAACTATCTATTTAGCAAGAGCCATATGACCTTCTCTCTCTCTGCCTGTGCTTCCATCTGCTGTGACGATGATCACATTGGACTAAGCGTGTCTACGTGTCTTTACTTCCATGAGATGAGTTCTAGATGGTAGAGACTAAATATTGCCCTGTCTGTGTTTTCAGCTAGTGATATAAAGCCTGAAAGTATTAAATAATGGTTGAATTGATGGATAAGTGGATCGGGGTATGAAGGATGGATGGATGGGTGGATGGTGGATGGGTGCATGGGTGCATGGGTGGATGGTGGATGGATGGATGGTGGATGGATGGGAGGGAGGGGTAAAGGAACACACCCTCTCTTTCTCACTGGCAGGATAAGATCTCACTCTTCAAGATTATCAAGCAATTTACAAATGCTCAGCCTCAGACTCTGGGTGGTATTGCCCAATAAGCCATTCCTTTATTCATTCAGTCATCCCTTATTTTTGACAGTAAACATCAAACACCCATTTGTGCTGAGCATAGAGGTTTTCAGACACATAGGCTGTGTGTCTTAAAAAGTCCTACGGTCAAAGCTTACCACCAGGCCTGCCCGAGACGCTCCCAGGCACAGGTGGCTGGGTAGGGGCCTGCCCCCCACCGAGAAGAGGCCACGTGGAAGAGCTTCAGCAACCCTTTTATTAGACAGGGGCCGCAGTTCCCTCCTCCATCCTCACTTCATGGGATGTGCGACATGAGGGACCCGGGAGTCCTGGGGGACAACTCTGGCCGCAGGCAGACGTGGCTTCCAGTGCTTTAAACCTTCAGCTCAGTTTACAGAGCATTTCTGCTCTTCACCTGGGTGGTCACGAGGCCTGTGTCGCTGCTGCCATTTCTAGAACCAACCTCTTGGTGGGCGCAAGGCATTCTGGGGAGTGCCACGTGAGGTTGAGCACACAGAAGGTATTCATCTCTTTGCATGTGCAAGTGACATTTATGAATGCATTTTTAAAACTGTTCTTGAAGTAGCTGAGTGCACGGCCGTAAGAGTGCTCATGCTCTTCAGTGACGGGTGGTGCCCACGTGTGGATGGGTGTGGTGTCACTCTTCATTGACGTGATGAGATTTACACGTATACAATTGTAAGGATCATGTTGCATTTGTTTTTAGAGTGGCGATATTTACATGCATCCATAACTTAACAAGTCACAATTTTACATCCGGTAATTAGAGCTTTTATACAAATAGCACATATTTTAAAAAGCAAACAATGTTCATATTTAGAAAGAGCCTGTAGACATGTCTCGTTCTATATTTTAGTGAATGATAGGTATATGAATCTTCAGCAGGCCACATGATTATTAGTTTTTTAACTGAAAGGATGGCACATTCAGCTAAAAACAGCCCCTAGGGTACCATCTCGTTTGTCTCTATCTTTGTCCCGCCAGTGGCTGCATTAGGTGATGTCCAAGTTCCCTGCCAGGTTTGCAGAGCAAGAGCAGGGGCTGTCGCTCCAGGGAACCTCGTCCGGCCTGTTGGTCGTCACGTGGCTTCTGGGCGTGTGGGTGGCTAACCAGCTCGTGAAGGGAGCAAGGGGACGGATGAGAACAGAGCCGCCCTCCTTTCCTTGGTCTTTCTTCCTTTAGGGTGACAGGGGCTCCGATGGTCCCGTAGGACTCCCCGGCTTGAAGGCCAGTACTGGAGCTGGTAGAGGCACAGTTAGGGGCCGAGCAGTCCTCCGCTCTGCCCTCTATGTCAGGAAGACCGGTCCGTGTGTTCGATTCCTGCCCGCAGGATTTTGCTTCTGAGCTTGTTGGGATGGAAGGGTGGAGCAAGCAGCATAGAAATTGGAGCATCTGAGTCTCTTTGCTCAGACCTCCATTTCTCAGTCTGAAAACGTGAGCAAGAAAGGGTTGGGGTCCGCCAGCCCTGGCTCAGGGCCCACTTTCACCACCAGGCTTCGCTCTCGGTGGAGCTATTTCCGCTCAGTCCTTTCAGGCTCTGTATTCAGACACTCGGGGTGTTGGGCTTGTACGAGTCTTATTTGTTCACACTGCAGGTTCCGTATGTTTAAATTCCATGAAATTCTTTTTGCACAAATTTTCCAAACTACTAATTGCTCTAAGCCAGCCAGGTGCTTCTTCTGGGGTGCACCTTCCTCAGCCACAGCAGCCCCTTCTCTCCACCATCCCCGGCCGCAGTGCTGCGGAGCTGGGTGAGGCTGTCCTCTTGTGTCGTCATTTGGGTGTCAGAAAGCTGCGTGCATTACCCGTGGTCACATAGGGGCTAGTGGAAGAGGT